TGGCAATAGTAGATCATACTCCTGGCAGTTAATGGCACTGACTAGCTAGAGACAAATCTGGATCTACTTAAAATGTCAGGTGGGTAAAGTAATGAGTCTTTGCCTAGTAGGAACCCAGCAGAGGGAGCCTTCATGGTCCACTTGTCAGTTGAGTATATATCACTGCAAGCCTGTTAAATAAATGAGTATTTAATACCTATTGGATAAAAAAAAAAATCCACTTACTCAAATCACAGTTCAGTTTTTTGGGGGAGAAAAGAGAGTATTTTATTAACATAATGAGATGCTTCCTATAAGCAATGGAACTCAACACTTTAATGAGTATTATAAAATATTTAAAATATCCAAGCAGGTTTCTGAGAAGCACAATTTCCCAGAAGGAAATGGAGTAACACATATGGTTCTGATCTGTATTTCAGGTTATCAGAGAGATAACTTGCACTTGTTCCAGAGAGAACTTGCACTTGTTCCTTTAGAATCAGAATCTTTGGGTGGAAAAAGACCTTAAGACAGTTAGTCTAGCCCAGCATCAGAGAAAACAAAACCAGGAAAATGTGGTATAACAGGTCACAATCAGCTGTGAATAAATGAAAGCAAATATGTTTACCAATTTTGTCCCCTAAAATTTCTTTAGAAAATGTTGACATTTTCTAGGACTGAAACATGAGTAATGAACTGGGGGCTTCCCTGGTGGCTTAGATAGGAAAGAATCTGCTTGTGATGTAGGAGAGTTGAGTTCGATCCCGAGGCTGGGAAGATCCTCTGGAGAAGGAAATGGGAACTCCAGTTTTCTTGCCTGGAGAATTCCATAGACAGAGGAGCTTGGTGGGCGACAGTTCATGGGGTAAATAAGAGTTGGACATGACTGAGCAACTAACACTTAATGGCACTGTTCAATGTTAGTTGTCAATGGGTAGTAATTAGCAGGGCTTCCCTGGTAGCTTGGTTGGTAAAGAATCAGCCTGCCATGCAGGAGACCCTGGTTTGATTCCTGGGTCAGGAAGATCCACTACAGAAGGGATAGACTACCCACTCTAGTATTCTTGGGCTTCCCTGGTAGCTCAGCTGGTAAAGCATCTGCTTGCAAAGCAGGAGACCTGGGTTTGATCCCTGGGCTGGGAAGATCCCCAGAAGAGAATGGTTACCCACTCCAGTATTCTGGCCTGGAGAATTTCATGGACTGCCCAGTCCATGGGGTCGCAAAGAGTCAGACACAACTGAGTGACTTTCAGTAATTAAAAAAAAAAATTAAAGTCTTTTCAACTTTATTTTTTATTATTTCAAGAGGGAAACATTTAAAGCACAAAGACAATGACTGCTTATAAATAACATTCTTAAACATTATGTTTATTCTTTCATTCTTTGTTGTACTATTATTATATCTTTCTACTAAAAGAAAAAAAATTCAAAATATTCTTTGCTAAACAACTTCATTTTACAATACTATTTAGGCCGCTTTTTTTTTTTTTTTAAAAGAAAAACAGAGGCCAGGAGGAAATGGTTTTAAAAAGCATGTCAGCAGTGATTTTTCTCTTTCATGAAATATCTGCTCAAAATGAAAACATATTGAAGAGAAGCAATTGTCAGTTCAATTAACTGCAAGAATATCAATTCACAATGCTAAGATATTAATAAGATGCAATTATTTTGTAATCATGTCTGTAAATTGCACAGTCATGCCCTGTAAACATACCTATATGTATACATTAGGCATATCTTTAACCCTACTGTCTTAACTTCTGTTTGATAGCAACAGTATGAGTTATAAAATCTGTTTTCAAATGCTGATACCAATTAACTGGTAAATGTTAGTTAACAGTGGATTTTCTTTTAAAGGAGACCATATAATTAAAAAATAAAAGCAAAGAAATTTGAGGGGGATAACATTGCCTTAAAAATTGTATTTGGGGAGAAAGAAGGGAGGAAGTAAATGACACCAGCATACAATCTGGTTAATATCAAGTATAACAAGTATATAAAGGCAAAATGTTGAATTGCTAATGTAGCCACACTCAGTCTCTTGGCTACTTGCTGGGGAATAGATAATTTGGATAGTAATGGAAGAGACTTATGCATTCTCTAAAAGTTTTAGTACAAGCAATTAATTTGATATGAGGCTTAGATACTATAGAAGTGTTGGCTTTATGAAGGACAAGAGAAAAATCTAACTGCCTTTTTACGGAGATAATGATTGATACATTCTAAAACATGAATTCTTTTGGATGCTTTGGGTTCTATAGGCATAGGAACTGATAAAAATTAACTTTACAACAAACGTAAATTAGTGAACTTCATATCTTAAAGATGTTTGACGTACATTAAAAATTCCATTTTTCAATTGTGTTCTTTTCTCTGATTAAGTTCAGGTCCAAGCAGAACTTCAGGTGTGCAATGATCATTCTTAAATCTCACTGAAAAGTGAAGGTAGGTCTGTGTGAGAGCAGGGGAATGCTTGGGAAGTCACCACCTCTCTGCTTTGAGTATTGATTCACATGTTCCGTAAATACTCCAATAGAATAAGCCATGTTTGAAATCTGTGAGTCACAGACAGGGCTCAAGATGTCAATATTGAGACCTTTCTTCTATTAGGGGAAAATATAAAGATGAATTATTTTGGGAGGTGGAGTTAGAGAACACCTGAGCTCAGTGATATCTTAGAAAGTTTCTTCAGAAAATTGATGCCCATCCAGGAGAACAAGAAACAATGTTTATAAAGCTGCAACATTTAGCTAAGGAGTTCTCCCGTGCCAGCTCCTGTAAAGTCTGCTCTTCCTCACTGTGAGAGTTTGACCATGGTGAAGTGAAAAAGAATGGTCAAGTCCATGGGAATTTGGGATCAGTCAGTCTCACAAAAACCTCATTGTGTTTTACCTGTGGCTCCAAATTTGGCTTTGCAAAATTCTAGGATTTTAAAAGATCTTCAGGCAATGGAACCAAAACAAACTATGAACAGACCTTAGAGTGCTATACGCTACCATAACGAAGTTTTAAACTGAAATATAGACAATCTCCCCCAGCTTTTTGCATCTTATATAGATGGAATGAGTATTCAATAAAAAATATTTTTTAAAAAATGGTTAATTTTCAAGTAACAGACATTTAGGAAAGCGTTAAACAAGTTACTTTATCCAATGAGAATGCTCACCTGGTAGGCTAAGGAGGGCATGAGAAAAGCAACTCCCTGGTAGCCTATGGTTCCCTGGCCAACTTGTCCTCTTACCATGATAACCCTAGAAAGTAAGATAATTCTGAAAAGGAACCTGTAAGTTGGCAAACCATTAAGCCTTTCAAATAGCACGCTGAACTTCCTCTCCCTAACGAGCAGTATTTTCTTTAGAGGACCACGTGGGACAGGTCTATTACATGCACAAACCTCCTTTCCCCACTGTGAAAGACTCTTGGGGACTGTCAAATTCCCAAAAGCCTGTTAGAGAGGAGCCAAGAGGAATTTTATCACAGTAAAATTACTCTGTGCGATCCTATAATGGGGCAGACATGTCATTATACATTAGTCCACGCCCATAGAATGTTCCACACCAAGAGTGGACTGTAATATAAACTGTGGAGTTTGGGTGATTTTGATGTGTCAATGTAGGCTTGACAACTGTAACAAATATACCACTCTGGGGTTGGGAGGGGATGTTGATAATGGGGGAAGCTATGCATGTGTGTGGGGAGGAGCTATTTGAGAAATCTCTGTACCTTTCCCTTAATTTTGCTGTGAATCTAAAACTGCCCTAGAAAAACAAAGCTTAAAAAACATTAGAAGGTTGATTCACATGTGTTATCTTGGCCTTCACTCAACCAATAAAGGTCATTACAAAAGAGAATATCATTATTAGTTCTTACTAATGAAGACAATAACAAACCAACATCTAAACTAACAGCAATTCAGAATCCTGGACATTATGAAGCAGAGGATTCAGATGTAACAATACTAGGCACATAATAAAAATGACTTGTTTTGCTTGATTTTAAAGTAACTGCTTAGGTGTTAGAAAGGGCAAACAGTACCGTTTATTTTTTTTCTACACCTTGTAAACAGGCTGGATCGTTGCCAGTAATCTGAATTCTTGGGAGAGCCATTAAAATCTTCAAATAAATTGAGTCGATATTCTAACTTACTCCGATGGTTAAAATTTAAAATCAGTTTACTACAGTTGAGTTGATCTTAAAAAAAATATCAACCTTTGGGAACAAAGAGGTAGAAGGAAGTCTAGATTATTAATAGAGTTTACAACTCAGTCATGGTGAATTTAAAAAATACATTTTTCTTTCCATAATTATTTTATGTTCTAAATGAGGTAAAATTGATAAGATCTGCAGTAAAGTCATGTTGAGGGCACTGTGGTGATCACAATGATGAGGTTTATTTTTGTCGACATGTCAGAGGGCAACATTAATTGCTGTTTGTCACCTGTGAACTTCATACTACAGTGTCCAAGGATAGAAGATGAATGGGTGTCACCCTGTTGAGGAATCCTAACAAAAAAGTCAAATTCAAGGCATACGAAATGGGCCAGCCTTTCAAAAAAAGATGTGCTTAGGACTTCACTGATGTGATGACAGGTGTTTTCGGTTAGGACAGACAGGGATGAGGTGAAACATAACCCTTTCCGGCCAATCCTATTTTAGAAACACGGAGGCGTGCTCGGTCGCTGGGGCATCGAGCGCACACAGGAATGAATCAAGCTAAAACATGAGAAATCACTGACAACACAAGATCAAAATAAATAAGAGAAACGAGCTGTTCTTTACACCTAGAATGCGAGTCACTGAAAAATTTTAAAAGGTGAAGGTTTTTACTTTAGCACCATGAACTGTGATGAAATCCCACTTCTATCACTCTGGCAGAACTGTAGCAGCTAGAAGCTAGATGGGCAAGTCTGAGGCTTTGATGTTCGAGTTGGGCTTCAACCACAGAAGCTATGTTGTCATTTTAGAACAATGGGCTATAGAGAGCGAATAAAACTTGTTAAACAGCTCCTCTGCTTTTCCTCTTAGGCGGATTTTCCTGAATTGGAGGCAGTGGTTGCAAGGGTGCTTTTTGGTAGAGGAAACCCAAGTCCTAATCCTTTTGGTCTCTGCAGGGCTGGAATCGGCTCAGCGATCCCCTTGCCGTCTCGTCCTAGGCCTGTCCCAGGTGTCCAGCCCATATTCTGGAGCATTCGGTTTCCAATATTGTTTTCTAGGATTGGCTGGGCGTTTTCTCCCACAAATCCTGGAATTAGAAAACGACAGAAACAAAAAAACAAAATCCCACATTAGTATGAACACAGATGAAGGCCCTCTTAGGCTAAGAAAAGCACATTCTTTCAAGTTTTCCTTTCAGCAAAGTACTGGGGAGGGTTCTTTCTTCATCTTTGGATAAAGAGCTTGTGGTAGTAGAAGGCTCAATGGACAAAGACCGCGGTTAGTTTCAGCTCTTCCACTTAGTAGCTGATTAGGTTATTTGACCTCTTTGGGTTTCTGTTTTCTGATCTGTAAAACAGGCATAATACAAAGCAATCAAAACTCAAATTACCAGATCATTTCTTGTGGCTATTCTTCCTTGATAATCAAGGGAGTGACCACCAAGCAAGCTAATGTGACAGACTGTGTAGGAAGAAAAGGGGTCAAAAAGTACAGACTCCTTGGTGGCTCGGTGGTGAAGAATCCGCCTGCCAGTGCAGAAGGCGCAGGTTTGATCCCTGGGTCGGGAAGGCCCCCTGGAAAAGGAAATGGCAACCTGCCCCAGTTTTCTTGCCTGGAAAGTTCCATGGACAGCGGTGCCTGGAGGGCTACAGTCCGAGGGGGTCGCAAAAGTGTTGGGACACGACTTAGGGATTAAACAACAGCTTAAAACCATCTTGGTTTTAGGGAGAACATATTCAGTACCGTCTCCTATATTGGGGTTTCCTTGAAAGTCTGTTGTAGAACTCTGGGCTATAGGGTTTGCCCATAATTCCATCCCTAGGGTTCCAGGGATGAAGTTGGCTCACTTTCCGAAGGTCTGCAGGATGCCTGTGGCATACAAGCTCCGTCCTGGGTCCAGCAAGTTTCTGTTCTGAAATGAGGGCTGTGTTTTCCGAGACAGTCTGAGAGTTGAAATGCGCAGGTGCTGACAACATCACTCACTGCTGTCAAAGGCTTGAGAGTCAGATGTCTCTCTTGTGCCCTTAACCCTTTCCCATCATCGTCCATCTTTCCTCCCTGATCTGGGTTTCTAACAGCACCTTCTACCCCACCTCTAGCCCCCAAATAGGGATTCTCCATCCTCCTCTTTCTCTAAGACTGTATATAAAGATCCTTTTAAGCCCCAATAACGATAACAAAAATATTACCTATGGGACCACAGTGTATAGTGTTCTGTTTCTTGATATGGTAGTGACCAATTTATTATTGTTCTCTAAAACTCTATCTACACATTTCATTCCATTCTCTGTATATGTGCTGCTCAGTTGCTAAGTCATATCCGACTCTTTGTGACCCGATGGACTGTAGCCTGCCAGGCTCCTCTGTCCATGGGATTTTCCAGGAAAGAATACTGGAAAGTGAAAGTCGCTCAGTTGTGTCCAGCTCTTTGCAACCCCATGGACTATACAGTCCATGCAATTTTCCAGGCCAGAATACTGAAGTAGGTAGCCTTTCCCTCCCCCAGGGGGTCTTCCCAACCTAAGGATCGAACCTAGGTCTCCCGCACTGCAGGCCGATTCTTTATCAAGGTTGCCATTTCCTCCTGCAGGGGATCTTCCCAACCCAGGGATTGAACTCGTGTCTTCGGAGTCTCCTGCATTGGCAGGTGGATTCTTCACCACTGAGCCACTTGGGAAGCCTCTGGTATATGTATTTCAAAGTAAAAACATAAAATAACAGTAAGTAATAAAAGACATGTCGGAGTTGAACTAACAGTATATTTAATCTGGTAATTTGTATCTGGTTTTCTGGAGAATAGTGAATGGGTTGTTCCTCAGGATTCTAACTTACAGAGGGGAACTGCAAAGTGATACAGATGAGTTATATAACTGAAACTGAGTTTACAACTAAAACTGGTGAGTTTTAAAACAAACTATAGAGTAATCATCAATGGATTTTTGCAAGACCTTTACTGAACATTTTGATATTCTTAATCTTCAGAGCATCTTCAGACTGAGAACAGAATACATTGCTGTCATTGCTAACTTCATTACAGGGAGTGAGAACTGGATTACCACAATAATGAGTTGGTTTTGGACTTGTCAGATTGGTTTTTAGCTCACTGAAGCAAGTATTTTAACATGTAATAGAAAAAAACCTTCAATTGCCAGCAGCTTGAATGGCCAAAGATTGGCACCAAAGAAAAACTCTGGACTAACATTATTTACTGCTTGACAAAGGCAAAATAAAAATACACAGAGATTTTATATATTTATCTAATTATACAAAAATATACATAAACATATAAGATATAAAATAGGCCTCTTAATTACCAAACAAAACAAAGAGAAGCCTTTTGTTAAAACTTGTTTAATAACAAAAAGACAATTAAGGTTTTTCTTTAAGTTTTTACTTTGAAATTATGATAATGGTAACAACAGACTACCAAGACATCTAATTTTTTTCTGAACAGCTGCTTTGCAAATGTGTCAGGTTACATGGCATATTAGCTTTTTGTCTTATACCCCTAATTTTTCTGTGATCACCACAAATTAATTTAATCCACTGATAAGCTAAGATGGATCAGAGGTCTAACGAGGCTTCAGGCTACATACCTGTTATATTTTTGATACAAGAGATTGCAAAGGTTCAAGTTTAAACTTTAATAGTTAAGAAAAAATATAAAGTCAATTTAAACCATCTCTGCAAAAACTGCATGTCAGTTTTGAGTTCTGAAATGAACAGCAAATAACTGATTCATGACTGTAGTTTTAAAATGTTGGCATTTCAAGTGTGGTGGCTCAGTAGTGGCCACTTGACTTCACCCTGCTTTTTTATTTATATTTTAAATTGATGTACAGTTGATTTACAATGTTGTGTTAGTTTCTGGTGTACAGCCAAGTGATTCAGTTAAACATACATATTTAGTATATTTACATTTTTATATTCTTTTCAATTATGCTTTATCACAGGATACTGAATATAGTTCCTATGCTATACAGTAGGGCTTTGTTATCTATTTTATATATAGCAGCTTGACTGAACATCCAAATCTGCTCATCCCAAACTCCTATTTTATCCCTCTCCCATTCCTTTCCTCTTCTGGTAACTGTAAGTTCATGCTTTAGTTTCTATACAGGCAGAAAAGAATTCATTCTATTTTTTTAATGCTGGTTTATTTCTCTTAATTCAAATGAAGCATTATCATTATGTTAAAACAAAAAGAAATACCATTTGATTTCTTAAATGCTAAATCTTTCCCCATAGCAACACAGATTTCTGAAACAAACAAAAAACAATGGCTGTTCTATATAACTTTAAAAAAGAAAAAACAGATACTTCATTTTTCATGGAAAATGACTCTGGCATGAGCTCTACTGTTGGTCTCTCATCCTTCTTTTATGAGATTAAGACATGGGAGTGGAACAACTCCGTCTCAGCACAGCATCTGACAACCATAATTTCCTTTTCTTTTGCTCCTGGCGGTGCTAAATCCTTTAAGTCCTTGCCTGGGAGGCTCTCCTCCTGCTCGGGCAATTTTAGCAATACATAGCCTGCTAACCCTTCTGCAAGCTCCCGCTCCAGCCCCCTTTATTCTGGATCTCTTATATCTATTACAGCGGAGTCGGTCCTTTCCCCTCAAATCTTCCAAAGAGTATTGTGGATAGTAATTCACTTGCGTAATTGGCTCAAGAGATGAAAATCTTGTATCGGCCTCTCTTAGCTGCTAATCTATCCAGCTGACTGCAAGCCTAATTGGCAGCTTGTTTAGTAATTTGGCTCCTAAAGTGTTGTATTGATGTTGGATAAACAGCCAATGGAAGGGCAGGTGACACATGCTGCTTCCCACATAACACAGTGCATCACGTCAGTCCTGACCCCATATTCAAAAGGCTTTTAGTGGTCTGTGCTCAGTCTTTCTTCCTACCCTCTTTCCCCATTACTTTGCTAGTCAGCTGAAGAGCATGGTTATTGTTGTTATTATTATTATTTGTGACATTATTAGAATTGCCAGTTCTCATACTGTCCTCTGGCCTCAGTAACTAATTTAGGGACATGGGCTTTTGATTGCTGTTAAGAAACAGCATTGAACACAGATTGGGCTGTGAGAAAGTGGTGACGGTTAGTACTTTTTGTCAAATGTTTTAATTGTTTCATTTTTTAATACAGAAAAGCCTCACTGAGATCATTATACATCTTATCTGCAATAATGCAGATGTTTTTCATGTGAATTTTGCAAAATAAAATCAGTTCAAATAGCCAACTGCTTAAAAATACAAGGCTCTTGCTTTTTAAACAATGAAATGGAAAACTAGTTTCTTGTTTTTTTTTTTAACTAAGTGAAAAAAACTTTGCATAGTAGGGAATGAAAGACATGGTTGATACTGACATGTCTGGAGAGGGGAAGGTTTTTATTAACAGATATTTTGGTTATAGGGGCTTCCCAGGTGGCCCCAGTGGTAAAGAATCCACCTGTCAATGCAGGAGATACAAACTATGTGGGTTTGATTCCTGGGCCCAGATCTCCTGGAGGAGGAAATGGCAACTCACTCCAGTATTCTTGCCTGAGAAATTCCACGGACAGAGGAGCCTGACAGGCTACAGTCCATGGGGTCACAAAGAGTTGGGCACGACTGAGCACACACATTTTGCTTATACAGATACATTTCTTATGGGATGATTGCATTAATAAATCAAAGAATAGTGTTTTCAGAAAATGAAAAAACATCTTAAAACTATTGGTTCTGAAGGCACACAGGGATATTTGTTTGCTATAATATGATCAGGACTATTTATGGTCTACGTACTATGTACCTGGTCTGTGCTTCACTTGTTAGGCGTGCGGCATTCATAATCTCCATTCCTCATAACAATTTTGCAAGGGGGGGAAGTATTGATACAATGGGCTGCAGAGAGATGAACTGCTTGACCATTACCACATAGTAGGCTAAGATTCAAACTTTGGTGAAGTTTGCTCTAAAAGCCTACATACTTGCCATTACCTACACCGCCTTTCTACAAGATTAATGGCAAACAAACAACTTCAGTGGAGATGATGTTCTAAATTATTAAAAAAAAAATTTGGGTTACATGTTAATTGTAGTA